CTCCTGCGAGACACGCCCCCGCCGCGTGCAGCGGTCCCGAGCAGAAGCGCGCGGCGACGCAATCAATGGAACAAACAGAACGAGTTGGCGTCGGCGCTGGCGTTGGCGCTGATGTCGGCGCCCAGATGCTCGGCCCCTCGCCCGCGGAGACAACGTTGCAAATGATAAAGCAGAGCACGCGAGCAAACGCGCGCGCGCAGCCTCCCCGAACTGGATGATGGGCGGGCAAGCGCAACGGTCAAAGTCAGAAGTGGGAGCCCAACTCATCAAGCAGTTGCGTCGCTCCTGGCCTTCCTGCGGGCCCTAGATGAAGACAGCCAATGAACGGCGAGCGATGCCGGGCTAGTAAAGATGGAGCCTGCTGCTGGCTTTGCCACGCGCGCCAGAAAGATGCCACCGGGACTTGGCATTCCTGGCCAAGTAGTTATGTCTGCAACCGCTGCGAGGCCACTTCCCTGGCCTCCTAGAGACAAATTGCCATCGTCTATGGCTTCATCCCTGGGAGAGAAGGTAGGGCCCAAAAGTCGAGTCTCAAGCCGGCGTCCTATGAAGGGCGGCCCTGCAAACGAGAAGGCACGGCTAACTCTTTCACATCTACTGGACATCCACGCGCGGAGATTGAGAATGCATATCGCTGCCTGGACTGCACGCCATAGGCAAGAAAGGGCACATAGATAATAGACAAAGGCAGGAAGAGAAGACAGGGAGGAGGGACAAAAGGAGGTGAAGCATGCGCGTGCACAACTCACGGACTCATGGAATGATGCCGCCAGCGACTAGTTACGCATCGCCCGCGCATCATCATAAGTGATGGGCGTCGACTGCTGAATGATGACGAGCTGCTCGCTGCGGTTCTTGATGTGGCCTTGCATCTCCGTGAGCTCAGCCCTTATCTTCTTAATCTCTGGGCTGTCCTCCAAGCGTTCACTGCAAGTGCATCAAGATATCGGAACTGGACCGTTGTCTCGAATTGTTCAAAACCGTGATCAAGTTCAAATGTGGCTGCCATTCTATATGTGAAACCCCGCTGTCGCCACAGACATGCGCGGCGCACGCGATAGGAAAGCGGGATCGCATCGTCAACGTATCTACCAGCGGCAATTTCAAGAGCTCTGCGGGGTGTCGACAGTCGGGGCCTGGGATCTTCATCATATTGATACTCAAGCTATGATAGTGCCGGGTGTAGGATCGCGCCCGGCAGAGGTCCGCGCATCGGTATCCCAGATCGCTGTGCGAGGGCGAAGCCTGATCAGCTAAAATGGCAGCACCCGAGGAATCCTCCAATTCCCCTCTTGAGACTCTGGAAGACACAGGCGGTCCTGTCCCAGTGTCGTGCACCTAGCTCGCCACCCAGGACTACTTGTGATGTGGATGCGCGTAAGACAGACAAGGTGCGCGATGTGAGCTTTTGCGCAGCACGATCGAATCAAGTGTCCACCGCCTGGCGAATATCGCGAGCTGCCAAAGCCCCCTGCGCCTGACCAGCGCCCGCAACAACGAGGCCTGGATGGCCCATCCGCCTGCGACATCGAAAGCGCGCGCGCTGCCGGGTGCCTGGGGGACCATGCGGAGGGGCAAGAAGCCCCGCGGCCACGTCGAGCTCCTCGAATGCCGAATCAAGACCTTTGAAGTCGAGCCAGGGAACCTGAGATTGGTACGGAACGCCATGCCCCTGGATATTTTCGGATATTGCCGTCGCCCTGGCAGTCGATAGAAACTGCATATTTATTTAGGCAAGAATGTCCAGTTGTTGCGCACTTGTTCTCACCTGTGTCCTGGAATCATTTTCTTCTAACAATAGGATAGCAGTGTGGTAAGCGACGATAACTTGTGCAAGGTTGGTTTGGGGGGGCGTATACTCTTGGGTATATTGAAATCGCACGTGAATCTATACCACTGTAGAATGTGCGCATGCGGTAGTACATTGAGACGCCACCTATCATGTGCATGCGATATGCGCCCGGGCCATCTCATCAGCATGTGCTCGATGCTTGTGCCCCAGAGCGCGAGCGGCTCTTATCTTCAACGGCGAAACGTGACATGCTTCCTTGCGAGATCAAATGTCTTGCGCAATCTGTCCAGCGCCTGCAGCTGTAAAGCCGGGGTCGGACTCGACTTCGGCGCCGTATTCGAATTCGCCGCAGCTGGGGGAAATCGCAGGAATCCGCCGTCCAATGCTGAACGGCGGAGCCACGAATCATATTTACTGTCAGCGTCGAAGGAGAGAGTTCCATCGCTACTGCAAAGCCATGGAAGCCGACCGCTGACCAGAATGCGAGAAAGATCGGGCCCGCGCGACGCGATCTGGAGGTCGTCGGCCGTGGCGGACTTGAGCAGCTCCACGGGGGCCTTTCAAGGTCCTGGCACATGCGCGTGCAATGTTTTGCATCGTTTTGCAAGCTCCAACTACAATCCGAATCTGGCGTCGTGCAAATAAAGACCATACTGGGCGTTCCAGAGAAACTTGATAGATCGCAATCGGCATCCATCGTCTAGCAAGTGGCACGCCACGCCCATGGTCAACAAGAATGTTAGCACCTCCTGGCCGCGGGGGCCCATGAAGACTGAGGCGCGGCGCGATCGCTGCTTGGCCGACGGACTTCTCGCGCCAGAAGGGAAACAACCGTGCGCACCCCCCGCGAAGTGCACAAGCAATCTGTACTACCTTGTCTTAATGGCACCACCTGCTGCCAGACTATCTGCCATGGCTTCCACGCGCAAAAGCGCAGAATGAGAACCGTGCGGCATGGATCATGCAGAAAAGCTGGCCCAACGCCATGATATTGCATGATATGCCGTCGCAGAAAAAGACGTATGCACTGTAGAAGCGGCCGCGAAGAATTGCAACCCATTCGCGTGCCCCCTCTCGTTTTCGAGTATGTCTAAGATGACACTCGCGTAGTGCCTTGAAGCGCGCCAGCGCGCCTGCTGCCATAGACCCTGGGAATAAAGCTCTTCGGGGCCACGAGGGGGATGAAGGTGTTATTATTTTCGGGGTCGTCGCTGTGGTTTGCCCCTGTGGCATCGTGTGAAGGTCCTGAAGGGGGCCCGTGCTGATTGCGTCGTTGTTGTATGTACTGGTATTGTTAGCATCGGGCGTGGCGCAAGCCCTATATGCTGATTCCACAACATTGATGGCCGTCGACGGGGCAACCTCCAGGGATATGATGGATATAGTCTGCTGTTTGGCGTGCGCTCAGCAGTGCGAGATATCGTGCTCGATCAGCTAGAGGCTTGCCTGGTGCGCGTATCCTTAGAGATTTAAGATGCTTTCGTGCTCGTGCGGCCGCTCTTGCGTGTGCGCCCGTGCGTCTATGTATTCCCCTTTGTCCAGTGCATCTGGCGTACGAACCTACCTGATATACGAATGCGGGCGTGCGAAGTGTCGGCGACGGGCCGAATATACATTGCGGCTGTAAGCTGAGGGTGTCGCAAATCTCTAGGATCTCTAGATAAGGAGGCCCAAACAGGTCGTGAGAGTGCAGGCTGTAGGTCGGCAGGCGTAGGAAGACAACATATTTGAACAATCCTACGGGGTCTCCGACCTGACATCCACAACTGTCGTATGTGTAAAATATAGTGCGCTGTCATAAGGCATACATACACGCTGCTATAGTGCAGACTGCCGTGCGCATGTTCGCCGGCAAGCCATGGGAACTCTCGAAGCAACTGTTCAATCATCTGGATAAAAGATGATGGTGGCAAAGGTCGTGCAATATGCCCGAGAGTCGCCACCATCACCCGACGAGCGGGCACAATAATGGAGGTATCTTGAATCCCTGTTGTACGAAACTTCAAAAGGCGCATCGATGAGGTCAATCCAACTCGTGAGTGTACTTCTTCGTGCTTGGAGCGTATGGTCCACAGCAGCATGTGGAAGATCATGGGATCAAGCTCGTGACTGATAAGTTGTTCGTACTGAGGCATCAATGGTGTACGTGATTCCTGCGGGCGAGAGTCGTACACCGAAAATGAGACACCATGAAATGCGAACTCGGAGAAAATATGTATGCCATGGAGGTCGACGCGAGAGCGGTACAGCATAAGTGGGACTCATACTTCCACACCTTCGCGCACACATCGTGATGATAAAGTTAAACCCAAGACCAAGCCTAGCCGACCCAAGAACAAACCCACGTCAAGAGCAAACCTAGGACGCTAACAGAGGGTAGCCGACAGGCTAGTACAGTATCTGCATTATTCGAAATCTTTATCAATGAGAGCCTTTGGTGCGCCGCTTGAGCGGCTCCTGCGAGACGCACCCCCCCCCCCGTATGCAACGGTTCTTAGCAAAAACGTGCGGCGATGCAAGCAATGAAACAAACAAAGCGAGCTGGCGGCGGTGCTGGTGCTGGCGCTAATGTCGGCGCCCAGATGCTCAGCCTCTCGCCCGTGGAGGCAAAATTAGAAAGAAGATAACAGAGCATGAAAGCAAACACACACACAGACACACACACACAGACACAGACACAGACACAGACACACACACAGACACACGCAGACACACACAGACACACACACACAGACACACACACAGACACACACACACACAGACACACACACACACGAGGAGGAGGAGCAGGAGCAGGAGGATGAGGAGGGGGGGGGGAAAGAAAAGGGGAGGACGAGGAGGAAAATGATAATGAGGAGGAGGAGGAGGAGGAGGGAAGGAAGGAAAAGTACGGAGAGGAGGAGGAGGAAGATGAGGAGAAGGAAGAGGAGGAGGAGGAGGAGAAGGAGGAGGAGGAGAAGGAGGAAGAGGAGGAGGAGGGCCGGAAGAGGAGGAGGGAGGATGATTTTGTGTCACCAACGGCAGGCCGCAGCCCACGTACATCACAAGCGGGAGGGCGAGTCATGCAAGGGGAACAGCGCGAATAAATCAGAACCCGACTCGTGGCCACACAAGGCGGGGACTGCTGCACGCGAGCGGGAGCCCGAAGCTGCGTCGAGCAGGCGAAGGGCCGTCGCCACGACTCGCAACTCTCAAGCGTCCGCCGAGTCTACCTCCGAGTGGGGAAGAGGGGGTTTGGAGGCAAAGAGGGGTCCTCCTCCTCCTCCTCCTCCGAAAAAAAAATCCATGGGCCGACGTCTACAATGACGCCAGGCACCTGGGGGTGGCGACCTCGACAGACTCGCTTCCAGGCGCGCATTCTCCCCTGCGCTCCGAAGCGGGGGAGCGGCGCATAACCTTCTCGCAAACCACGGAACTGGCCACCACACGTGTACAGTTTGCAGCACAAGCGAATAAAACACAAAACTCCCGTCAGAAGCATCGAAAGGAGCATCTTGTGACCCAGAGCCGAGAGCCTCGGAGCATCATATCCTCGAATCCCGACACCCACCCCTCCGCGGCACAATCCCAGGGCAGGCTTTTCCAGAGCCCAAGCCCCTCGGAAGCAGCGCGAGCACTGCCAAAACCGACCCGTCCAGGACCAGGAGTGGCAAGGCCTGGGAGGGCGATTCACGTCAGCAGGCGGAGGAGGGCAGACACACACGCTCGACATTAGGACCCATCTCGAGCTTCGGCCACAGGGGCTGGAGGAGGGAGGAGGAGGACGGAGGAGGAGGAGGAGGAGGAGGAGGAGGAGGAGGAGGAGGAGGAGGAGGAGGAGGAGGAGGAGGAGGAGGGCGGAGGAGGAGGAGGAGGAGGAGGAGCAGGAGGAGGGAAGGAGGGGAAGACAAGGGGGGGAGGAGACGAGGCCCGAGGGGGGGAGGAGACGAGGCCCGAGCCCTCCTCCGCGCCCCGCCCGCTCCTGGGTGTCCTTGTAGTCCCGGCACCAGTAGCTGTCCGTGCGGTAGCGGCAGACGCCGATGTGCCCGTACACCTTCTTCAGCCGCTCCTGCCCGGGAGCCGCTCGCCCTGAGCACGAGTCCGGCACCAAAGGAGGCCGTTGCCGGCAACACGCTTGGTGGTGCGACAGGGAGTTGTTCATCAGGATGAGGGGATGGAGGAGGGGGGGAGGGGAGCAGGAGGAGGAGCAGGAGGTGCAAGTACGGGGGAGAAGGAGGGAGGAAGATGAGGAGGAGGCGGAGGAGGAGGAGGAGGAGGAGGAGGAGGAGGAGGAGGCGGAGGAGGACGAAGATGTTCTGGGGTCGGAAGGCCGCACCACGCAGCCTCGCCGTCCAGGGCGCCCTAAGCCGGCCCCGGGAGCCGCTCGTCGCCTCCGCGCAAGAGAGCGGCCCCGGGCGCGAGGGGCCTCTGAGGCGCGGCTTCGGGGAGTCCGGCGGCGTTCAACACCGCCGGACTCCGCGGGACCCGCTCGCTGCGGGACCCGCTCGCCGCCTCCACGCACGAGCGGCCCTGAGCATGGGGGGCCTCTGGTGCGCGGCTTTGGGGGGTCAGGCGGGGGGGGGAGGGAGGCAAATCCAGCCGAGCAAGCCGCTGCAATCGCATCGCATTCGGCGATCGGGAAACCCCGGTGGACCCGCTCCAAAGGTCACTCTGGCGAGGGCCACCCTGGCTAGACAAGCGCGTTCCACTACTCGCAGAATAACTGCTCGCAAATGGCCGGGCTCCGCCGCGAGGGATCTATGATCCATTCCAGTCGGCCCGTATCATAAAGATGTGCGATAAGGATGCAAGGGCCGTGGGGCGCGGCCAACGAAAGTGGCCAAGGATGGACCGAGGAGGCAAGGATGAAGGGTACCCTTGGGAAGGTTGCCCATCCTGATTTAGCGGGTTGACTGTACGTCGGAGGCAGGTCTGTGTTTTTGTCGGACGTTTGCGAGCAGTGGAACGCACCCGGTGGCTTGCGCATGGCCGAGCTCATGGCGGGGCGCGTCCATGGGGGCGGCACGCTGGCGCCGCGGGTCTGGACAGGAAGGCCCGCTCGGAGCCAGCCCGGAGCAGCGGGCTGCGCCGCGCAGGGGCAGGAAGAGGCACCGCAAGACAACGCGACGTCTGTCGACCTGGTGGTGAATCCCACCAGCCCTTTGGGCGTGAGTGGTTTAAAGAGCCCGCTCTGTTCTCAACCCCCCTTCTTCCCCTTCGGGGAGGGGTTTACCCCTCCCCCTACCCCCTCCCCTGGGCCTGGAGAGGTCCCTCCGCGGGTCGTCAGGGGAGTCATTTTCGACTCCTGGGAGGGCTAAAAAACGACACCCCTCACGAGGATTCTGGCCCCGACGGGGGGAGGGAGAAAAAACTCTCTCCTCTTCTGTGAAGCCAAAATCATTGATTTTACTACGGTTTTGGCCCCATTTTGGCCTTCTGAGGGGGCAGCGCTCATTACAGCTCCCCTCTTCCTTCAAGGCAAAATCATTGATTTTACGAAGGTTTTGGGCTCATTTTGCCCTTCTGAGGGGGCAGCGCTCATTAAAGCTCCCCTCTTCTTTGATCCATTCCCTCCAAGATGGCCCCAAGAAGCGCCCAGGAGGCACCAAGAGGCCCCAAGATGGCCCCAAGAGGCGCTCCTGGAAGCCCCTGGAGCCGCCAAGAGGCCCCCAAGACGCCCCAAACCGCCTCCAAGAGGCTCCCAAGAGGCCCCAAGAGGCTCCCCCAAGGCACCCCAGACGCTCCTAGAAGCCCCTGGGGCCGCCAAGAGGCCCCGAAGACGCCCCAAAAGGCCTCCAAGAGGCTCCCAAAACGACTCACACCACGACGAGGGCCCCGAACGACTCACACCACGAGGAGCCCGAACGAGTCACACCAGGAGGAGGGGCCCGAACGACTCACACGACGACGAGGGGCCCGAACAACTCACACCACGAGAAGCCCGAACGACTCACACCAGGACGAAGAGCCCGAACGACTCACATCACGAAGAGCCCGAACGATTCACACCAGGAAGAAGGGCCCGAACGACTCACACCAGGACAAGAAACCCCAAACGACTCAAACCACGAGGAGCGCTTTCTCTCCCTCCTCCTCCGCCTCGTCCTTCTCCCGCTCCCACCACAAGGAGGATGTACAAGGAGGCGGGAGGAAGGAGGAACAGGGGAGATATGCGGGGGCAGGCGGAAACACGCCTGAAAAACACGACTGCCGGCATGCTTCGCAAGAGTTGCTGCTTTGAGATGGGCTGGTGGGGATACGCGAAGCGTCAAGAATTTCCTTCGGCCTGGGGCTTCGAGGTGGAGTCCAACGGCTTCCGCAAGACGCCACGTTTCCTCTCCTGGAGTGGAGTATTTCTGCCCCTGCTTGTGGCTTTCGGGTCCTTGCGCCTACGCTGTGGGTTCTCGTGTTGCAACGAAGTCAGCCCAGTGATCAGCAATGACGCTGACAGAAGTTAGAGGCCTGCAAGTGACTGGTATTCACGATCGCGCGGTGGGTTGGTTGGTAGGGCATTAAATCCAGGTTATCTGAATCTCGTGGATAACAGATGTGCGGGCCCCATGTCAACGCAACACTTTCATTACACAAACAATTGCCATCCTCGATTAATGGTGACTTCCACCGCGACTCCGCTTCTGGAGCTGGGGGGCGCAGCGAGGAGGAGGAGGAGGAGGACGAGGAGGAGGAGTGGGGCACAACGATCAAATCCCACCAGCCTTTTGGGCGTGAGTGGTTTAGAGAGCCCGCTCTGTTCTCAACCCTCCTTCCCCTTCGGGGAGGGGTTTACCCCTCCCCCTCCCCCCTCCCCCTGGGCCTGGAGAGGTCCTTTCGCGGGTGGGCAGGGGGGTCCTTTTTCGACTCCTGGGAGGGCTAAAAAACGACACCCCTCACGAGGATTCTGGCCCCGACGGGGGGGACCAGAAAAAATGCTCTCCTCTTCTTTGAAGCCAAAATCATTGATTTTACTACGGTTTTGGCCCCATTGTGGCCTTCTGAGGGGGCAGCGCTCATTACAGCTCCCCTTTTCCTTCAAGGCAAAATCATTGATTTTACGAAGGTTTTGGGCTCATTTTGCCCTTCTGAGGGGGCAGCGCTCATTGAAGCTCCTCTCTTCTTTGATCCATCCCCTCCACGATGGCCCCAAGAAGCGCCCAGGAGGCACCAAGAGGCCCCAAGATGGCCCCAAGAGGCCCCCAGGAGGCCCCCAAGAGGCCTCCAAGAGGCCCCCAAGATGCCCCCAAGAGGCCCCCAAGAGGCCCCAAGAGGCTCCCCCGAGGCACCCAAGACGCTCCTGGAAGCCCCTGGGGCCGCCAAGAGGCCCCCAAGACGCCCCAAACGGCCTCCAAGAGGCTCCCAAGAGGCCCGAAGAGGCTCCCCCAAGGCACCCAAGACGCTCCTAGAAGCCCCTGGGGCCGCCAAGAGGCCCCCAAGACGCCCCAAAAGGGACGAGGTGCCCGAACGCCTCACGCCACGAGGAGCCCGAACGACTCACACCAGGACGAGGGGCCCGAACGACTCACACCACGAAGAGCCCGAACGACTCACACCAGAAGGAGGGGCCCGAACGACTCACACCAGGACGAGGCGCCCGAACGACTCACACCACGAGGAGCCCGAACGACTCACACCACGACGAGGGCCCCGAACGACTCACACCACGAGGAGCCCGAACGAGTCACACCAGGAGGAGGGGCCCGAACGACTCACACCAGGACGAGGGGCCCGAACAACTCACACCACGAGAAGCCCGAACGACTCACACCAGGACGAAGAGCCCGAACGACTCACACCCAGGAACGAGAAACCCCAAACGACTCAAACCACGAGGAGCGCTTTCTCTCCCTCCTCCTCCGCCTCGTCCTTCTCCCGCTCCCACCACAAGGAGGATGTACAAGGAGGCGGGAGGAAGGAGGAACAGGGGAGATATGCGGGGGCAGGCGGAAACACGCCTGAAAAACACGACTGTCGGCATGCTTCGCAAGAGTTGCTGTTTTGAGATGGGCTGGTGGGGATACGCGAAGCGTACAGAATTTCAAGTCGATTCTTGGCGATTCGGGAATCCGATCCGTTCCCGGTCCGATCCGATTTCGCGATTCGATTCCGCTCAGGCCTGCTAAAAGGCGCCTGGGGGCCGCCTTTAAAGGACGCTCTTGGGGCGCTCGTGGGCTTTCTCCCCCAGGCCGCCGACGTCCTATCGTCGGAGGTCCGCGCGGACCCCGCGCGGATCTCCGCGAAGGAGCGACGGTCGAGGAAGGTCGGGGATCAGGGAGGATCGAGGAAGGCTGGAGAATCGAGGATCGCGGGGCGTCGAGGATCGAGAAGGGTCGAGGGTCGATGAGCATCTTGCCCCCGCGCGAGGGATCTACGGGGCCACGCTGGCCTTCCCGCTTCCCTCCCCCGCTCGCCGCCGCTCCCCTCGGAGGAGGGCGGCGAGCGAGCGGAGGCGGGCGGAGGCCGCGCGGAGGCAGCAAAAAGTTGCCCTTCAAGGGATGACCCTCCTCCTCCTCCTCCTCCTCCTCCTCCTCCTCCTCCTCTTCTTCTTCCTCCTCCTCCTCCCTCCTCCACTTCTTCCTCCTCCTCCTCCTCCTCCTCCTCCTCCTCCTCCTCCTCCTCCTCCTCCTCCTCCTTCTCTTCCTCCTCCCCAGAGATCCGACGCTCCGAAAAAAGATTGAGCGGCGGGTTTTGGGCCGCCTTCGGCCTCGAAGGGCCCCCGCCCGGCCTGCGGACCGTCAAAAGCGACCCAGGACGAAGAATTGGCCCTGGGGAAGTGGTGCAGACCTCTGGGGCCCACGCATCGAAAAAGTTGGAGCAGCCGGATGTCTGGGACAGACAGGCACCAGCGATGGCGAGGTAGCCAGCGCACCCTGCGCTGGCTACCTCGCCATCGCTCGGGCGGCCGTTCCCTGTGCATTTGTTCGACTCCGTGCGTGCGTGTTTCACAAGATGACCTCAAATACTCCTCGCTGGTCCTCGCCGAGGAAATTTGTTTCGATCCGCGGGTCGAGAACGCACCTCTTCCGGTCGAAGTTAAGCGGGCCGCGCACAGCTTTCATTGACAGAGGGGGGAAGGCAGAAGGAGAGGCCTCACGTCAAGGCCAAGAGAGGGCAAAGCCCCGGAGTCAGGCGGTGCCGAAGACGATGTGCATGCAAAGGAATGCCTTGTACAGGAACCCGGTTGCTAAGTACCGGAAGAAGCAAAATGCTGTGGTGGTGGTGCCGTCAGCGGCGCGTCATGTACACCAGCCTCAAGTGGCCGCGGGAGAGGACGCACCACGTACCCAGGGCGACGCCCGAGAGGGTGAGGAGCACCGCTGCGCCGGAGTGCAACGTTGTGCCACCGGACAGGTCGCCGAGGAAAACACGTACTTTTTTACAAACGCAAGAGTTGCTCTCCAAGGGATGACAACATTTTTGGGTTCAGGGTTTTTTTCGGAACCCACCACATAGCGGACCAGGCACCCACGGGCCGACACTGGCACCCGCGTCCTGGAAGAACCCATGTGGTCAGGAGCTTTTGCTCAGCATGTCGCGGCGGCGGCCCCTGTGACACGCTGTGCCCTACAAGCTGATAGCGCGTCGCTCTGCTTAGTGGGACGGGAAGCTGGGAGAAGCTCGGGACGTTGATGATTGGGGGCCGGGACTTGCTCAACGTGTCGCGCCAAAGCGTGGTGGGCCAGAAACGGCGGTGCGACCTTCGTCCCCCCCACCCTCCTCCTCTTCTGCCTCCCCCCTCCTCCCCCCTCCTCCCTCCTACCTCCACCTCCTCCTCCTCTTCGTCGTCCTCCTCCTCCTCTTCGTCGTCGTCCTCCTCCTCCTCCTCCTCCTCCTCCTCCTCTTCCTCCTCCTCTTCCTTCTCCTCCCCCTCCTCCCCCTCCTCCTCCGCATCATCATTACCCCGCTCCTCCTCCTCCTCCTCCTCCTCTCCTCCTCCTCCTCCTCCTCCTCCTCCTCCTCCTCCTCCTCCTCCTCCTCCTCCTCCTCCCCTCCTCCGCCCCCTCCTTCCTCTCCCTGCTCCTCCCCTGTCCTCCCTCTCCCTGCTCCTCCCCCCCCCGATGGTCCCGTCGCCTTGGGGCAACCATGCCCAGCCCCCACCGCCACACCCCCTCAGACCTCCTCAGACATCCTTACCCCCTCTCCCTCATCCCTCCTCTCCTCCTCCTCCTCCTCCTCCTCCTCCTCCTCCTCCTCCTCCTCTCCTCCTCCTCCTCTCTTCTTCTCCTCCTCCTCCTCCTCCTCCTCCTCCTCCTCCTCCTCCTCCTCCTCCTCCTCCTCCCCCTCCTCCCCCTTCACTCTTGGTGAGATCGAGCCGATGGGCACCCTCTACAAAGGGCCCTGCGCAAGCCGATGCCCTCACTGATCAGCTCCGACTGCCCTCCCACCACCCCTCCCTCCCTGCCTCTCTCCTGACCCCTCCTGCTCTCCCTCCTCCCTCCTCCTCCCTCCTCCTCCTCCTCCTCCTCCTCCTCCTCCTCCTCCTCCTCCTCCTCCTCCTCCTCCTCCTCCTCCTCCTCCTCCTCCTCCTCCTCCTCCTCCTCCTCCTCCTCCTCCTCCTCCTCCTCCTCCTCCTCCTCCCCTCCTCCTCCTCCTCCTCCCTCCTCCTCCTCCTCCTCCTCCCTCCCCCCTCCCCCTCCTCCCCTCCTCCTCCTCCTCCTCCTCCTCCTCCCTCCTCCTCTTTTGCCTCCTCCCTCCTCTCCAGTCTCGTGCTCATCCTTCTCCTCCTCCGCCTCCTCCTCCACCTCTTCCTCCTCCTCCCTTCTCATGTATCCTTATCCTTTTTCTTTTTGTTCTCCTTATCATTGTTGTTGTCCTTCTCCTTTTCCTTCTCCGTCCTCCCTCCTCGTCCTCCTCCTCACCCCTCCTTCCTCCCTGCTCCGTCCTCCTTCCTCCTCCCTCCTCCCTCTTTCACTATAAACAACTTCTCTCTGTCGCGACCCCAGACGTGTCGGTGAGACGGGCCGGGCGTTCCGCCTGAGACCTACTCGCCATTCATGATGCTGAATCTTGGCGTTTGCAACATACTCACCAGTGGAGGGTGGGCCGTTCTCAAATTGTGGCTCACGCCTTAGCGCCGCGCGCATTCGTCTTCAAAGTCTGCATCGGATTCGGGGATGGAGGGCGGACCAGTTTCAGAATGTTGTTCTCGCCTTACCGCCAAGCTCCTTCGTCTTGAAGTTTGCAGCAACTTCTGGGATGGAGGCGGTACCGTTCCAAATGTGGCTCTCGCCCTGGTGCTGCGCACATGCGATTGACACTTTTGCAGAGGCTTCACGGATTCGTATGGTTGGAGTCCCAGGAATAGTGTTCTGACAGGATTTAGGAATGCCAGGACGCAGCAGTCTCTTCGATTCGCGGTGTTCCAATCCCAGGAAGGGTGCCCTGGCACGACTTCTGATCGTCAGAGCGCAACAGTCATGTTGGTTCGCAGCGCTCAAGTCCCAAGACTTGTGCTGTGGCATGATGGACGATTCCCAGATGCCTATCTTCCTGTGGGGCACTTTCCTCAATGAAGATCATGTTTGTGGGGATTTATGACGAGGGAACTTGCAGGGGAAGGTGTATTGCAACTTCGTTGATGCATTTTGGGTGTGCACTGGTCCTCCTCCTCCTCCTCCTCCTCCTGCTCCTCCTCCTCCTCCTCCTCCTCCTCGGGTCCAAGATCTTGAGGCCGGTCTCATCGTCCACCACCCCGAGCGGGTAGCACAGGAAGATCAGCGCGGCGTCGGAGTCCCTGCGGCGCTCTCGCGCTGCCCCCCCGCCCTGCGCTCCAGGGAGGGGGCGGGCAGACTGGAGGGGACGAGAGGGGAGGCCGAGGGGAGGGGACGTTCCTTCTTCTCCTCCTCCTCCCTCCTCCTCCTCCTCCTCCTCCTCCTCCTCCTCCTCCTCCTCCTCCTCCTCCTCCTCCTCCTCCTCCTCCTCCTCCTCCTCCTCCTCCTCCTCCTCCTCCTCCTCCTCCTCCTCCTCCTCCTCCTCCTCCTCCCTCATCGTCATCACCATCATCATCAGCAGCATCAGCATCAGCATCATCGTCATCATCTTCAGCATCATCATCACCAGCATCATTAGCATCTTCATCATCATCATCATCATCATCATCATCATCATCATCATCATCATCATCATCATCATCATCATCATCATCATCATCATCATCATCATCATCATCATCATCATCATCATCATCATCATCATCATCATCATCATCATCATCATCATCATATTATTCTCCATCATCATCATCATCATCAGCAGCAGCAGCAGCATCAGCATCAGCATCAGCATCAGCGTCAGCATCATCATCATCATCATCATCATCATCATCATCATCACCATCACCATCATCAGCATCACCACCATCAGCATCACCATTATAATCATCAGTATCATCAGTATCAGCATCGTTATCAGCATCATCAGCATTCGTAGCACTACTAGTAGCATTAATAGTCGTATGACTTATCGTATTATAGTTATTCGTACCAGTGTTGCTACGATTAGTATTGTTCTTATTATTCATCTTAGTACAGCCATCGTCAGCATCACCAGCACCATCACCACATCCCTATGCTGCCCGCTCAGAGGGGACCGCTCTTGCCCGCATGTGAGGCGGGCGCGCGCGCCCGGGGGCGACGCGCGGGCCCTAATTCTTGACCACTTGGTTCTGCTCTCGCGAGCTCACAGAGGAAAACTCATAATCATCCTGAGCATCCTCATCGTCTTCCTCACTCTCATCCCCATCCTCACTCTCATCCCCGTCATGCTGGTCTTGCCTCCGCCTCCTGCTCCTCATCCTCCTCATACTCCTCATTCCCCTCGTTCCTGATCCCGCTCGCCTTCCTTCTCCCCGCCTCATGCTCATCCACCTCCTGCTGTTAATCCTCATGTGTGCATCCCGCCCGATTACGCAGCAACTGCCTGGTCAAGTACTGCAGCTGCAATTCGGGCGTCTTCTCAGGGGTAGGAGGAGGAGGAGGAGGAGGAGGAGGAGGAGGAGGCGCTCTGGCCGATGAACCGGGGACGACGCCCCGCCCAGGCGGCGCCCAGGCGAGGCGCCGCCATGGCGGATAGGATGTCCGCGACCAAGAGCCAGCGCCGCATCATGAACGAGGACTACAACAACATCGGCAATGAGATTCTTACGGGCCCATACGGGCCGAGGCCTCCACAGCTCGAGGCTCGTTCTCACATAACGGCATACCGCAGGCTGGCATACGCAGCCCGTCGAGGGCGCATCGCCGTGGGCGACCTCATAGCCATCTCTCCCCAGAGGAACGCCAGGCCTACCGGGGATATTCGCCACCGTTGGCCTTCACCCTCGGGCGGCAGGGCGTGGCAGCCCAAGATCCCGCCCGGCTGTTGGTCGCAGCCCTACGCCGAGAAGTACGGGTCACACAGTGCTGGCAGCGAGGGCGCGCTCAGACCAGAAGCGCCTGTTTTCGTCCCCGCTCATCTCTGCAACTCAGCTGGCGTCCTCGCACTTCGGCCACGCCCAGAACACCTTCGAGATGAACCGCCTGGACGGTCACTGGACCGAGCCCCCGTGGGCGCTCAATCCAGCAGAAAACCCGGCCTCAGGCCAAAAGAGAAAAGATGAGAACCCCTCCTCGGGACCCCCTCGGCGGCCCCCCCCACCAAGCCCTTCGGGCTATGTCGCCGAGTACCCCGCACCTCTCGCCACGGCTGGACTTGCCTCGAACATCTGACCCCGATAAAGCGCGGACGGTGGATCAGACCACCGTGCTTGATCCAGAAGGGCCTCCATCAGAATTGCGGAGGGTCCAAGGGCGTCCCGAACGCAGAGTCCACTTTGACCTACCAGACGACCCGCGGTGAGTGGCCATCTCCCTAACTCCCCCTCCCTTCCTGCCCTCCCTCCTCGTCCTTCTTCTTCCCCCTCTCTTGGCTCCGGGAGGGAAGGGTTCAGTGAGCTGGGGATAGGGAGGGCGGACTCGACCAACGCCCTGCGTTTCGGCATTGACGCATGTTTCAACCATCCTGGGCCATTCATTCCGTTCGCAGTCGCGACGGACGTCGCCCAGCGTGCGATCGCATGGTCCACCTTCCATCGTTTATTGCATGGCGGGACGGGGGGTTGGGAGGAGGGGGAGTAGAGAGGGATGGGGGCCGGGGATGGGAGGAACTCTCTCGTCTGTCGCTCGAGCAGGCTGGGCCGCCGTGGCTTTCGCTGCGCGCAGAGGCACCTGTTAATCGAGACAATCCCATAACCGCCACAACATCCGTCCTCGCTACACGCTTCTGCCACCGCTTCTCCACGCTGCAGTTCTCGATTCCACCAGCATCCTTGCAATAGTCAGCGTGCGGGGGTAGCAGGGGGGGCGGGGGGGGGGGCGTGCACGTATATCACTCGAACAGGCCTGGGCGCTCGCGGCTTTAACCGAGCGCAGAGGCAGTTGTCGGGTGAATCAGCGCCACTGCCACCACATCATGCCGTCCTCGCTATACTCTTGCCGCCCCACATTTTCCTCTCCCCGCCCGCTCGTTCGCTGCCGCTTCTCTGCTCCAGAGGGTTCGCGTGCTGAACTCGAGAAGAACATGTCAAAAAAGCACGCGTGGACACCAAACAGTTTATCTTTCGCTTCCCTGCGCTGTTCGGGGGCAGCGGGAGGCTACTGGGGTGAATGAACCGCCAAACCCCAGGAGAACATGCGGTAATCGCAGGCGCGTCGAGATTATTTCTTAAGATTCACCATGCACTTTGCCACCGCTTTTTGATCCACCCAGATGGTGCGAGCATCTGGCTTTACATTGCGGCATTCGCGCCGCAGCATGGCCATCTTTTTCATAGCGATCTTGATTGGGCCGCGCGTTTGTTTTACTTTCTATTTCTCCCCCCTCCCCTCTTTCACATTCAAAGCAACCCAACCAAATTCGATGCCTAGACGTCAACCTGCCGCAGGGGACGACTCGGCCAGTCAAAGGACACCTCTTTGCATCAGCACGCCCGCTGGACTTCCCTGTCCCCCACCTCGTGGGCCCAGCACGAGGTCGCATGCCGACTCGTAGCGGCGTCAGCTGTGCTCCCTCGCAGCCCTTATGTCCGCGGCTTGTGCCAGGTCCCTGTCTAGCACCGCCCTTTTCAGGGGACGCCAACAGGGACATGGCTTCACCCACCACGAGCCCCAAGTCTAGGCATCCCATCGTTTCACTGGGCGCCGACCCTGGCACCGTCAGGAAAATGAGGAGGGGGGGACGGAGGGGGTTGGGGATGGACTCTTGTGCGTGGGCGAATTTGTTTGACGGTGCCACGACGCCCCTGGCCGAGCGCCCCGCTCTTTTTCCCATAGCACGTGCTCAACCATCGAGGTGGATTTCGGGATCTGATATGAGAGGAGGTCGGACGACGCGGGGACGGACTTGCCGGAGGTGATTGCAGCACGCTGCGCCGCTTCACCTGTTTTTTTCTTTCGTTTACCCCCCCCTTCCCACCCAGCAGTTGGTGGTTGTGGCAGGATTGGTGGGCTTCGGTCATCGACATCACCCGACCTGAGTGAGTGAGTGAGTGAGTGAGTGAGTGAGGAGGAGGAGGAGGAGGAGGAAGAGGAGGAGGCGGAGGAATAAGAGGAGCAGGAAGATCAGCGGAAGGTGGATGAGGGGAAAAAAGGGGGCAGACAACGACGGAGAACGAATCGGATGCAGACGTGCGGCCCGCGCTGGAGCGAGAGCGCCACCGAGAACGACGGGAGCAAGGCACAGATGGCCGCAGGACACTCCATGCGTGCGCCTTGAGGGTCACGCACAGAGAGGTGAGAGAAGAGGACAGCTGCGGGTGTTCCCACCGGCCTGGCCTGAGACATCTTCCACAGATCCTTTAGTGTGGTCAACTGTGCAAAAGGAACGCCAGAGATGCGCGAACACGATGGCGCACTGTCGGGGGAGATGGGAGAGTAGCGTTCGGGTTGAGCATGTGGTTGCGAAGCTGGGTGGGCGGAGAAGGGGAGGAAGGTGGCGAGGAGGGGAGGGGGGGTGCGAGGTAGTGATGGAGGGAGGGAGAGAGAGAGAGAGAGAGACAGAGAAAGGGGGGGACTGAGGTAGGGAGGTGGGTGAGGAGAGGTGGGGGGAAGGGAAGGGAAGGAGGTGGTAAACGAGGCAGGGACCAAGGGAGCGAAAGGAGGAGGGGAGAGACGGGGAGGGAGGGAACGGGAAAGGGGGGAATGGGGAAGGAAGGGGGATGGAAAGGACCCCCCCCATCCCGGTGGAACCATCGCCACAAAGTCGCCCCCCCAATCCTGCTCCCTGGCGCCCTTGTCGGCCTCCGAACGGCTCCAGAAGACAATCGGCGGGCCCTCCATGGCCCCCCAAACAAGGCCCCCGAGAAGCACCCAGGAAGAGGCTTCCCAGAGGCCTCCAAGAGGGAGGAGGCAGGAGGGGGGGGGGGGACTCAGACCCCCGACGTCGTGATTCTTTCGCCGCGTCGACCCCCAAAAGATCTGGACCCTTTCCCCGGGACCGGGTTTTCATCCTGAGTCGTTTTCTGACGGCCCCGAGTCTCGGGAATGGCCCCCCGAAGCCGAAAATCGTGAAAAACCTCCCGTCGTGACTTTGTCACAACGTGAAGAGGTCCGGACGCTCAAAACCCTCGTGAACCCCCTCTCCAGGCGCAGGAAGAGGGGGTTAGGGCGAGAGGTAGACCTCTCCCCGAAGGGGAAGAAGGAGGTTGGAAAGGCTGACTTGCGAAGCCGCCAACGCCCAAAGGGCTGGTTGGGTCTCTTCGGTCAGCCTGAGGGCCGCGAAGGGAGGGGACGTGTGGATGGGGAAGGGAGGCCACCGCCGCGGTGGTTCGCTGGTCTCGTCTCCTGGCGAGCTCCGCGGGCATGATGATCTCGTTCGGCAGGATCTTCTTGAGGGCCTCGGACAGCTTGCTCTCCATCAGGTCGAGGGTGCCGTCCTCAGCGGCACGCGGGGCGTAGCCTCCCTGTCCTCCACTTGCTGTTCCCTCCCCCTTCCATCCATATCCCCTTTTTTGTCCGCCATTCACCCCCCCCTCCCCTCTCGTGCCTTCCCTCCCCATGCTCCTCCCCCCCTGCCGCATCTCCGCCTCCGACCCCTTCCCCTCCGCTCCTCCCCGTTCACCCCGTCTCCTCGCCCTGACCCTCTCCTCCGCGTCTCTGCATCAGGGGGATCTTCCGACGCGCTGTGCGGCTTTCGTTGTGTCCAGCAGCTCTTCTTCATGCCAGCATTCCCCATCTGTTGCTCGATCGGGAATCGTAACATCCGCGCTGGTAATCCTATTGCCATGCCCTGCGCTCGACTTCGCTCGGGCCCTCTGGGGACCCGTGGGTGCTTGCGCCTCTGCCGCGAGCGCCTCTGCTGCCAGCTCCCGGCCAGAGCCGGCACTTGGCGCAGCAGGGCTGGGGCGCCCCTGAGATCCAGCGACGCGGGAAAAAATTGACATCGTAGGGAAAATCACGACCGGAACCCCAGAGATCCAAAGTATTGAAAAAATCAAGGAGGTTTTTCGCACATTTCGGCCCCCAGGGGCCCTCGCCAGGCCTCGGGGCCGTCAAAAAACGACTCAGGATGAAAAACCGGTCCTGGGGAATGGGTCGAGATTTCCAGGGGGCCCGTATTGAAAAAATCAAGGCACCGGATCTCTGGGACCCCAGACCCATCTTTCTGCACCATGTTTCGCGCCGGATCGATCTATGAGGGCCCCGGGGCCCGAAACTGGGCGACGACGCCCGGCTCAAAAAAAACCAAACTGGGACACCAGGATCTCAGGGGCAGGCCAGCGCGTGGACGCCAAGAGACTGCCGCGGCGCCCCGGGGGGGATGTCCCAGGCGCGGGCGACGACGACGACGACGACGCCCTCCAGGGCGGAGCGCACGGCAGCGCGGGCCCGCGGGCGCCAGAGGCGGCCGACGCCGGCGGGCGGGCGCGGCGCCCACCAGGCAGGGGGCGGGCGCCCGAGGCGCGGCGGTGCGCGCGGCGGCGCGGGCGGCGGGGGCGGCAGCGCCGGGGCGGCAGCGGTCGCCGCACCCGCACCAGCCCGAGGCCGTGCGTCGGGGGCGACGATGGGGGCGAACAGCTCAGGGGGGAGCAATATATATATATATATATATATATATGTATCTAGGGGCGCCGATGATCCATGTCTCCGGCGAGGCTTCCGAGCGAATACATGTAATGCCCGCCCCTGGGCTATTCGCCCTTTTCGTCGCCGCCGAGTGCGCGGCGGCAACAAGACCGAAAGCCGACCAAGCCGGCGGGGAAGGCGAGACCGACCGGGATAGCCAGGCCGAACGCGGCGTAGAAGGGCGCAGCGACGCGGCAGCGACACAAGGGGCGATTCCGGAGCATCGCTGGAGCGGCCCCTGGCCCCGTCCCGATGCCCCTCCCGAGCCCCACCCCCTCGCCACCCCAGGTGGGGATGTGTTGTACCCTTCGGGACCCGAAGGGACCAGCCTAGATCCCCATCCAGGAAGCCTGATCGGCCAATGGGGCTCAAGCCACGCCGATGGGGATAGGGACCGGCGGGGCGATGCGCAGTTCTGGATGCAGCGCTCGGCGGCCGCCCCGCGCCAGCAGCGCAGGGGCGCGGCGGGAGCGCGCGCCGGCCTGGCCCGCGGCGCCCACGCGCGCGCGCGGGCCGGGAGGCCGACGCTCGAGGCCTGCACCGCTGCCGCCGCCGCGCTTGGTCGCGCGGAGGCGGCGGGCCCGCGGCGCGCCGGCGGCGGCCCCCGCGGCGTGCCCTGGCGGTGTGCGGCCTCGGGGAGAGCCGCCCGGGGCCGCAGGGGAGCGGGTCGAGGAGCTGCCCGCTGCGCCCGGGTGCCGGCGGCGGCCTGGGGCCCACCGGAGAGACCCAGACGTCCTCGCGTTGCGAAAAGATCACGACGTCAACAAATGACTCGGGACGAAAAACCCGTCCCGGGGAAGGGGTCCAGACTTCTGGGGGTGGACGCTGTGAAAAAAACACGACGTCGAGGATCTGGGGGGGGCGCAGGGGGCTGCAGAGGCCAACGTTGCGGCGGCCGCGCGTAGGGGGCCAGCGGCTCCGCCCCGCCACGGCGCCGCACGCGAGCGAAAGGGCTGCGCCGCAGGCGGCGCTGCCCCCCGCCGCTTCGGCGAGGGCGGTCGAGGCGAAGGAGGCCGCAAGTGGGACGCACAAGGACATGCTAGTACTATGTGTCCTCTTCGGAGGGTTGCGTCCGACCCGCACATATATAGTACAGCCGTCTTGTAATACATAGTTACCCGAGCGGTACGGCCAGAGAACGCCCGCCACGAAGCATGCGCTATAAGACTTCTCGTCGCGCGCGTCGCCCCTGGGGGCGGCCGACGCACACATAGTATTAAATTAGCATGTTGGGGTGACCGCGAGCAAAGAAGGCCGAGGAGTACGCAGAAACCTTGGCGTGCCAGCAACTCTCGCGACGGACGCTGGAGCGGAGGCCAACGCAATCAGCGCGGGAAAGGATGTTGCCTTCACAGCTGACGAAAAAAGCCATCGTTAATTTGGGAGCTGACAGACGAGGGCTCCGAGCGGCATACGGGTGGCGCCAAGTGGCAGACCACGGAGGTAGAGCGATCGGTGCCCAGGAGGAGACTACAGCAGAGGCGTTCGCGCGCAAGAAGAACATATGGCACCGGGCTTGGGGCAACGCGTGAGGAGCATCCGCTGTGCACAGCGGGTGTACTGGCGACGTCGAGGCCATGTTCGTGACGGGCCTCCCGACCTTGAAGCGGTGGAAAGGAAAGTGCATGCGCAGGCTGCAGAGGAAAGGCGCCGAACCCACGGACAGACTACACGTCGGTGTCGACGGGAACGAATGTAACAACGGTGTGCTTGACATGTGCACAACCAAAAAGAACAGAAACGGACACTCCGCCGAAAGAGACGGGCAATCCGCGAAGACCTCTAACCCTGTGGCGTGCTTTGTGAAGTTCGCCGCGATGCCGTCTGGTAACATCACGGACCCAGCGGAGAGGTTAGAGGTCTGGATGGGAACGGACGACACTGAAGTGGACCCCAAGTATCGCTCTGTGCAGCAGGCTGGTGTAATATATGTGATACAATATACGGGCCCCCCTCTACGTGGACAACTATTCAATGCATTTCATGCGGTGCAACCTATGCGGTTCAGTATACGCTGGGCAACCAATGGAGTGCAGCACATGCGGTGTTACTGACTACGTGGGTCATAATTTAGCAATGCTGGCGAACATAACATCCCGCCCACACACCCGCAACAAGTTGGCACAACTCCAGGAGGCCGTGCGGCACATACCCGTCGGACCCTGTTAGCCAATCCGAGCTGGCACTATGGCGCTATGGCGCGCGGACGCCTATCGTGTAGACCTACCCCTCGAGCCTGCGAACGAGTATGACCTCTGAAATGGGAGCGGCAAGGATGATAATGATGATGATGACGATGATGATGCTGATGATGCTGATTTTTCTGATGTTGGTGATGATGACGGTGATGATGATGATGATGATGATGATGATGATGATGATGATGATGATGATGATGATGATGATGATGATGATGATGATGATGATCATGCTGATGATGATGATGCTGATGATGACGCTGATGATGATGATGATGACGATGATGATGATGATGCTGATGCTGATACTGATGAGGATGATGATGACGATGAGGATGATGATGACGATGATGCTGCTGATGATGGTGGCGATGATTATGCTGCCGCTGATGCTAATGATGATGATGCTGCTGCTGATGATGATGATGATGATGATGATGATGATGATGATGATGATGATGATGCTGAGGAGTGGGCTGGCAATGTTGCCGAGGGTGTCCACTATGGCGGTAACGATGACGGCGGTGGTGATGATGGCGACCCGTGCGACGACGGCGAGTTGTCACACGATACAGGCATACTCCCCAAAGCGAGCGTTCTGCACGAGAAGTCCAGCACATTTGGGCGCGAACAGTCCTGCTAAGAATGCCTGGTCGACCCCCCTTGGGAAGCCCCAGTGCGATGTCTGCTAAATCGAGGTGCACATGCGGCTCTGAACAAACATGTACTTCCCACAACGAGCGTTCTACCTGACATGTCCCACCAACCTTGGCGCGAACGATCCCGTTAATCACCCCTGGTCACCCACCCCCTCCCCTCAAGCGGCTCTGAAACGGCACACGTCTACTTCCGAAACTTGGCAACTGCCTGAGAGGCAACTACAGACATGTCCGGCCCAACCCAAAAACAATCAAGCGTCCATAACTTGCGCTACCAGTCATCAACAGCTCTTGCAATATCATGAAATCGGCCCAACTGAGATGCATCCCAAACCCTACTTGCAAACGGAGAAGGCAGTAGAGAAGCACAACAGCCTTCAATTGAAAGAGAGGTTCGACATGGGGGCGCGCCTTGCATGGTGGAAGCCAGCCCTCTTGCTTGCACAGCTGCTTGAATAGTCTGACAGCCGCGAGACATGGTCCTAGACTTCCCACAGCGCCCACTTGCCAACTGATTGACGGGGAGAATGTGCAGGAGAAGCAGGAGGAGAAAGACGCGTATGGCACTCACATGCGCTTCAAGCAGCTGCTGAAGCAAGTCCCTTCCAGTCACGCCGTCCATCCCACCTGCTTGCCTTTCGCAGAACACACGCACTGATGCTGGTTCAATCTCGCACGCTCTTATTTTAAGTGCTAGATGTCCCGCCCCCGCTGTGCACATGAACTTGGACTGCACCTCACCGCTAGCAAGGGTGGAATCCCACCCTTCCGATAGAAGATGCGTGCTGCGCAGAGTGTTCTTCCCAATGGCCGCCATCAAGGTCATCCCACGACTCGATTGCTCTCAAGTAGTCAAAGAGCTGTCCTGCACAGCAACATGCGGACTAACCGACGCATGCATGTGTGATCAACAGAACATGATTGTGCCCCACCCGCCCAACATAACTGCATCACCTCTGGCGAAACCGATCCAGGCAACGCAACCGCTGGCATACAATGTAGGGGGCCTGGCGAAACAGGAACCACCTTGACAAGGGAACGCCTGGAGTAAGGTATACTGGGCTCCTGCTCAGGAGCTTTTCTGATCTGTCAACGCATGCTAAAGTGCAACATTGACATGAAAGTCACTAACGCCGCGCTTAAGTTGAACCGCCACCAAGCAGGGGAGCCATGCTTCCCAGGCTGAGGCCACGCTTCTGTTGAAGGGTGAACATACAACTAAGGCTCCCCAGCGAATGCAGTCTGCTCTAGCAGTAATGAGGTGCCTAATCGAGTCAAGCACACAACGAAACTTTGCGAATTATTGATGCTTGGAGTTGACGCTGATATGATACAATCTGGAACTGCTGCAATTCGTGCCATCGAACAGCCCCGTGACTCTGAGCAACGCTCAACCGAGCAACTGAGACCACAGAGAACTCTAAGCCTTCAGCTAGGACAAACACTTCTAAGACCACAGCAGACACGACGCACAACCTCACTCTGGCAACCCAGGACCACAAGGCAATTTGGACACGGCACGACTAAGCTGTACTACTGGACCACCACGATCACACAACCCTCCATAATGAAACAACACACCGAAACAGCCGACCTGCCTGCTAGGGTACAGGCCTAAGCCGTACAAGCTGGACATAATCTGGGCCACCAGCACCGCGGAGCCCTTTGCGAGCGCGAATCGACATCAGAATCGAAGCGACCTGCCACGAACCAACTGAGCCATTCGAAGGCCAAGGAGGTGCAGGAATCCACCACCAGGCCACAGGCACAGCGTGGAGAGTCCTCAGATCCCCTCGGCCCCCCATTACCGAGTATTGCAAATGCAAGTGGCTCAGACCCAAGAGTTCTGGGCGCTCCTGTGAGCCTCCAGGGACCGTCGCGTGACCTTTCTGGAAATCAAGCGTCATTGAAAAACCTTGAGCGAGGCGCCCAAGAGGCGCCCAAGAGACCTCCAAGAGGCTTCCAAGAGGCATCCCAAGAGGCATCCACTAGGACTCTAGCCCACAGCCCAGGCACGACCAGAAGCCACTAGATATAGCCTTGTGCGCATGGGATTGTGGGATCTCGCTCACAAGAATCATTTTCCGATCCAATACGCGCCGCTGGGATCGGGGCACACAAAATTGTCCGCCCGACCTACGCCCGAACCGCGTCTCCGAACCACGCCCTGAACCGCGCTCGAACCACGCCCCAAACCGCGCCCGAACCACGCCCGAACAACGCCTCGAACCACACCCGAACCACGCCCGCACGCTTTGGCACCCGCGGATGCGCCCGCGGCCTTCGCCAGAGGGTGGGGCTCGCTCACCGGCAGGCTGCAAGGCGCAAGGACAACAAAACTCCACAGGACAGACTGCAGAAATTGAATTTGTCTTCGCGTGTTGCTTCTTTGTCCCTGCGCATCGCTGTTTGCAATCATTGCCCGTCTTTTTCTGTCCTGTGGGGGTCGCGCAATAACGATTGGCGCGTGCCTGGGGTGTCCGGGTGGCAGGAGGGCTTCTTCCTGTTGGCAGAGAGGCCTCCTCCGCTCCCTCACTGACTCATCCCCCCTTGCCAGATCCGCTCCCACTGCTTCGGCCCCAGATCGGCCCCCATCGCTCCGTTCCGCTCTCGAGGCGACAACAGGCAGAACAAATCAACAGGCAGGAATGCTGCCTGCACGCAGTCACAGCGCGTGGGGTGAGAAGGGTACAGAGCAGGGCGAAAGTAATGACCGGTCGCAGCAAGTGATCGCAGCAAGTGACATGTGGAGAAAGACACGTTGACTTAGACATCTAACCGTATGATGCTCTGGTCAGAACTGGCATTCCAAGTGATAACGCGACGTGCGCACGTACACCCACATGTATACATACACAGGTAATCCAAGACTTCAGGGCCTTGAAGAATCTATCCCAGTCCCCAAGACGGTCCAAGAGGGTTCCGAGGCGTCCCAGGAGCGTCCCAGTAGGGACTTAGATGATCGCAAAACGGCCCTCGAGGCCCCCAAGACGCCCCAAGAGGATTTCCAAAGGACCCCCACATGCAAACATCGCTTCATTCCCTACGCAAAGCATACATGCTTGCATGCGCGCTTCATTCGGCTCAGCAGCGTCCAAGACCGCCCAAAAGGTCCCCGACATCGCACCAAGACAATCCAACAGGCCCCTAAGAGCGCCCCCCAGACGGCACAAGAGGGCGCCAATATTGCCCAAGGGAGCCCCAAGACGGCCCAGGTAGGCCCAAGAGGCCCCCAAAAGGCTCCCAAGAAAGGCCCAAGAAGGCTAATTAGGGGAAGCTTCCAAGAGGGCCCAAGATGGTCCCAAGGCGGCTTCCACACGGCCCTTGCCCCCCCCAAAAACCAAGGACGGCCTAAGATGGCCCCAAGATTGCCCAAGAAGCCCCCAACATGACCTTCACGAAAATCTCGAGAGGCCATCATAATTGACGGCTCAACAAGCCCCCAAGATCGCCCCAATAGGATTTCAAGAGGGTCCCCCGACGTCCCAAGAAATCCTCAAAACGGCCCAAGATCTCTGCGACTTCCGAAGACCTCCTCCAGGGGAAGGGTTTGCCCATCCCTATCGTGGACCAGACATGATCAAAATTCGAGGTTCGACGATCGAGGCTTTCCTACCGCTTGCCGTCCTTTCGGAGCCTCCGGCGCTCCCGCCGGCGCATGACACGGTCCGCCTCATACTTCGGGGTGCCTCAAAGGAAGCGTCAAAACCCGAAGGAGGCGCGGGGGCCCCTCGGGAACCGTGTCTGGGCCTCTTGTCGTTGACCATCCTGGGCCGTCTTGGGCGCCCCTGGGGCCGCCTTGGAGCCTGCGTGGGTCTCTGTTCGCCGATTTCCTTTCCGCTTCGTCTTCCTCCACCTCTTCCTCCTCCTCCTCCTCCTCCTCCTCCTCCTCCTCCTCCTCAACCGCCGCCTCCATCTCCACCTCCACCTCGTTTGTCTCCTACTCGGACAGGTGGCGACAATCATGTTCCAGGAAGGCTCGCTGGGAACATGATGAGGTGGGTCCTGCGGGGGCCCTCGGTTTCGGGGTTTTCCGAGTGAGGCTGCCCAGGCCGACGGGCCACTGGAAGCATTTGCAAAGTTGAGACGGTGGTGAGGCTTGGTAAGGAGACGGGAAACACGCAAGGTTTCGATGGAAGAAAGCCAGGGGCTGGAAAGGCCACGGCAACGCGCTGCGCTGAATTGGGGTGTTCGGTGCGACGGCGCGGACCGTCCTCCTCATCTTCGGCCTCCTTGCCGGGCTGGCGGTGACAACCATGTTCCCGGAAGGTTCTCCGGGAACATGATGATGTGGGGCCGCATTGGGGTCCTCGTGGAGGTTGCTAGGGGGCCTCGAAGGAGGCTGCAAAGCCCGCAGGACAGCCAGAGTGAGCCATTCGGAGATGTTGTGGTGGTGCGGCTGCGAAGTGAGATGGGAGAGGCGTAAGGTGACGAAGCAAGAACGGTAGGAGCTGGGTTGGACAGGGCAAAGAAGGAGGGATGTCCGAGGCCTCGCGGGGGCTTCTAGGGGACCGTTGCTTGGCCTCTTGGGGCCGGTTTTTGAGCCTTCTGGGGCGTCGTGGGGGCCTCTTGTGGTCCTCTGGGGGCCCCGTGGCAGCATCTGGGAGCCTTCTCGGAGCCTCCTGGGAACTTCTTTGGGCGAACGAATCGAAATTTCGGCTCCTGCTCCACCTGTGGAGACCATACTGGGGCCGTCTTCAAGACCTCGGAGGCCGTCTCGGGCGCCCCTGGGGCCGTGAAGGAACTCTGTTAGGCCGTTCCGGGTCCTCCTGGGCGCCTCCGGGCTCGTCCTGAAACTGTGTTGGAGGCCTCTTGGGCCGTCGTGGATTGTCTGACGCTTGAAGTGGGGGAGCCCAGAAACAGTGAAGACCTCAAGCGATATCACTAATTTGTCCTTCTCGGGGCACCGGTCTGGGGCCTCGGGCGCCATCTGGAGCCTGCCTGGGGCCGTCCTGGCGACTTCTTCAGGCCTCGGGAGAGCTTCAGGAGGCGGAGAACTCGAAATTTCGGTGCATGCCCTCCCTCTGGAGGCCATCTCGGGGCCGTCTTGAGAGCATCGTGGGCCGTCTTGGGTGCCCTGGGGGGCGTCAAGGAATCCTGCTAGGCCGTCCCAGGGCCTTCTTGGGGGCCCCCGCCCATGTGTACCCGTGGTCGTGGTCCCAGGCCCGCCCGAAGCCCACTCCGAGATGTGTGTATACATATCTATATGTATAACTGTGTGCATAACACCAGAAACTGAACTTGCAAAGACTAATCGGAGCTTTCCTACGAGCTTCAGGTGATCTCCCGTCATCGGCATTTTCTTACTCAATGCCAAAGTGCACCGCGTAAATATGAAGTAGCCTCCCTCGCCACACCCTGGATGACAACTGGCAACTGCTGCTTGGGTGTTGGAAGCAGGCGCTATTCAACATGACTTGCGGATTGCGAGATTGGTACAAACAACACTGTTTCTCTCTATCCTCCCGCAAGCTCCTGCACACTTCCTCCTCAATTAAATATATCGCTCGCACGTGCGACTCCTAGCAACTCGCCCCTCAAAGCTGTGACACAATGCATGACGGAAGGGATGTGCGTGTAGGAAGCGCGTCCTGGAATTGTTGCCATCACATACCCCGAACCTTCGTTCTGCTTCATTGTGCAAACCTCCGCTCCGATCTAGCTGTGACTTGTTCTGCTCTGGCCCTAAGCGAACATAATAAGCATGACACACAACTGCCAAGCCGATCTGACCAAGAGCGTCGTTCTGCTTGTGATTGTACCACTTGGGGTCTTCCTTGCCAGTGGCGCCGATGAAACGGATGTGTGGCCTGTCCATCCACGTCGGTTCAGGGCCCTTGACATCCTGATGAGGAGAAAACAATGTGGCCTACTGCCAGCAAGCACGCTCGACCCGAGGAATGAAAGCACTCGTGTTCCCCCTTCTGCTGTCGCTCCTAACAAGATGAGACAATGCCTGTTGAAATCAGCCTCTTGCGGATCCAGTGCGCAGGAAAATGAGACCAGCCTGCGAGATAATTCGACATCCCGTTGAGAGAAAGCAAGCGCACTTGAGTCGCGGATGGTCGAACGCGCCAGCGAGAACGAAACCTGAAACTGCAAGAAGCTGAGAAGCCAAGCGACGATACCTTAACGCTGGCTGGTTACGAAGAGAGAAAGAGAAACAAGGGAAAGAGGCAGAAGAGAAAGAGAGAGAAAGAGAGAGAGAGAGAGACGCACACGCACACACACATACACACAACACACAACACACACAAACACACACGCAAATACACGGACACACAAACACACACACACACACGCACACAGGCAGACAGGCAGACGCACACGCACACGCACACACAACACATAACACACAACGCACATACACGCACACGCACACGCACACGCACACGCACACGCACAAAGACAAGCACATACACACCACTACACACCACACCACACCACACCACACCACACCACACCACACCACACCACACCACACCACACCGCACCGCACCGCACCGCACCGCACCGCACCGCACCGCATCGCATCGCACCGCACGCACGCACTCACGCGCAGACGTACACGTACACGTACCGAAGCGCACATACACACACGCACACACATGCTATGTCCTTGAGGCCAGCGATGACCATCTCCATCTTGAAGCACTGGGAGCTCAAAAGAAAATCAGCGATGGACTTGACACAAGCCACTGCGTCGTCTGCCTGCGGACCATCGGGATCTGTGATGTACAACCCGTACGCAATCAAGGCGTTGTCCCGGAACCAACTGCCAAACATGCTCGATTCCGAATGGTCCCCTGATGCATTGGCTGCAGAAGCACTGAACGTGCCAGTTGGCTTTCCGGCAGCATCCTTCACCTTCGCCTTTCCGAAATTGAGCGTCTGCTTCTCAACCAGCAGGCCCTTGACCTTCTTGAGCTCCTGAGGCTTCTGGGCCACTAGCGCACAGGCTGGACACACAATCGCATCCGATCTCGAGAAGCTCTCGCCTTCTGAGTTTGACCCTCTGCTGCACCTCCCCGTTCTGCTCGTGCAGCCAGAGGGAAAGGATTAGAACAGCGCAGAAGAAAACAGGGCAAGAAGAGAACACTGGGGGGAGGACAGGGAGAGGAGGCGTCAGCAGGAGGAAGAGGAGGAGGAGGAGGAGGAGGGACGATGATGATGATGATGATGATGATGATGATGATGATGATGATGATGATGATGATGATGATGATGATGATGATGATGATGATGAAAAGGAGGAGAGGGTGCAAGAGGAGGAGGAGGAGCACTAGGGGACAATACTGTGCCTTTGCAATTCGTGACCCGCCCGCCCCGCGGCCGCCAAGGCTTGGACCCCCCAGTCCCCAGGGCCACCGCGACGACAGGTGCTGGGCCCCCATGCCAGGCACACCCCGCCTCGTCTCCCCTCCCCTCCACACCTCCTCCTGCTGCTGCTGCTGCTCCTGCTCCTGCTCCTCCTCCTCCTCCTCTTCCCTTCGCAGGGCTGGGGCCATCTTAGCCCCCCCCCCCCCCGCCTTCTCATCGAGGAGGTGTCGCGGACTTCATGACCTGACCTGACCTGACCTGACCTCCTGTCGCCCTCTCATCACTCGCCTCTGTATTTTACCCTCCCTTCTCAACTCCTCCTCCTCCTCCTCCTCCTCCTCCTCCTGCTCCTCGTCATCATCATAATCATCACCACCACCACCATCATCATCATCATCATCATCAGCAGCATCATCATCAGTATCGTCATCATCAGCAGCAGCAGTAGTAGCAGCAGCATCATCAGCACCAGCATCAGCATCAGCATCAGCATCATCATTATCATCGTCATCGTCATCGTCATCGTCATCGTCATCGTCATCATCATCATCATCATCATCATCATCATCATCATCATCATCATCATCATCATCATCATAATCATCCTCCTCCTCCGCCGCCTCCTTCTCCCCCACCTCCTCCTCCTCCTCTTCCCCCTCCTTCTCTTACGTCTCTCCTCATTGTTACGAAGAACCTCCTCCGTGTCGCATTACCATACGTGTGGGTAGGATGGGCGGGCATTTCGCCTAAGACCTCTTCTTAGCTTCTGGCGGTAAAATCTCGGCAGATGGAAGACCGATCGTTTTTGAGGCCGTGCTCCGGCAAACACATTCCTTCCACCGGGTGACCGCGCAGACTAGATATCTCTCAAATGCTCTGGTGAATCGCGTTCCTCTGCGGTATCGCGCTCTCGACAGGCACCTCCTAAGAATATGTCGGGGGAGAACTGAAACGCTGGGGGGGCTCGCAATGACTCCCAAAGATTCGCAGGGCTCTCGTGAGTACCAGTTTGCACCAGGGAGGCCAGGAGGGGCAAGACACTGTGTCGATGTTGGCACAACGCTGCCCTAGGAAGGATGCCCCCATGCTACACATTAATGCCAACGCACTGCCCCGCCCCCACGGCGCCAGGAGAACCAGCATCTGCTTCTAACCTGGCTGCCCTCAAACATAACATACGCTCATCACGGGGCGCGCGGGCCGATAGCTGAATCCTCTCTCTCTATTTCTCTCTTCCTCTCTTTCTCTCTGTCTACATACATACATATGTGTATATATGTACATCTACAAAACAGTACAGGCCACTGCGACGTACATTTACATTGCAAGAGGTGCTGATGTCAACGGTCCAATGTCCAGTGTAAACTGTCGGCTGCATTATCCTTGACCTTGGAGTGCTGGACATGGCTTGAACGCGGATGCCCAAATCAACTCCTGGCTGAATTGCCCGAATGCAACCACGGGGCCAACGCCTGAATGGAGCCATCGTCTATGTGTGAGTGCATCATCTGCCTCGGACCCCGCTGATTGTTGTAGATTCCTGGGAGCAGCCTGGTCCTTGACGCGTTTCTGAATAAGCAAGTGGTGGTGTCCTCGGCATGAGCGTATGGGTTCCTAAGATCTGGCTGACCACGCATGGCCCGTGGAACGAAGCCACCTGTCAGATCAAATCAAGTACCTCGATGAGGCGATACTGGCCCCGTGGGGGAAGAAGCCAGTACTGTTGTAGTCCTGTGGTGGGATTTGATCATTGGAGCGTGATTCAACTTCTGATCACCAACACTGGCAAGAGCACAGGCCAGAGAAAAACATGCCTGGACGTTTGGTATCATATTGACGACGGAGTCTGAGAGCGCACCTGATGGGCACTGCTGGCGTTACATACCGCAATCACCCGACCTATCGCTTCAGGTACTTCTGAACTGCTCAACCTCGTTGTCGATTGGCAGGGAAGCTGAAAACTATTTGTTTCAAAGAAGCTGAGCGGTCAGTGAAAATCATCGGTGTGGAGCTTTTGTTGGTGATGACAGAGGAATGTCGCCTCTTGTCATCATTGTGCTAAATGGTTCTCTGACTCTGACAGGAGAAGAACGGCGTTCAGTGTTTGCCTTTATCTCCAGCGAGGGATGGACTATGAGTTAGCCAGGTTGCAGCATCCAGATGGTAGCCCCGTGTATCGTTTTGCCAGCGATCCGCCCAAACAACACTTACACTTGACATCTTCGCACTTAAACCTATGTGACACATGACGGTGCGGGGAACTGTCATCTTGCTGACTCGAAGTGGAAAATCTGAAATAACATCATGCCCTGATCACTTGGATTAAAGACATGACTGCGCGGTCTTGCTCACACCAATCATACTGTGAGCCCTTCGCGTGCTTCCCAAAGAAGCCTGTCAGTTTCCGGACAGCAATGAAACTAGTGCCCTCGGCCCGCAACACGTACTTCGTCTACGGATATGAACTCTGAGAACACGCGTGGACATCACGCATATGAGCAATATCTGCATACGTATAGATACGTGTGTGTATATATATATATATTCACATCTATGTGCGCAACCATGTATACATGCACTTGTGGTTATATACTCGTATGAATAACCCTGAACAAATACCTGATTGGAGCGTGTTGAACAGTAATCCCAGCGCCTACCTGCGATGACAGAGCCATAGATGATGGGATATCTGTGCGCACCCGTACGATCATGGATTGCTGCCTCGCCAAGCGGTTGGGGCAGTGGCAGTGTGATTACTCAAGCACGGCTGAAGAAACGCGTGGAGCTCCCCTGGTGATGACAACAACAATGAACAGTCCGAATTCAATGCTGCGCGGACGACGGACAGCTTACCTGGTCACCATCTGAATCAGGCACCGCGCTGTGCCGCGTTTGGCGGCACGTCAAGCATTTTCTACTCAACTTCGTTTCTCGCGAAGCAGCCTTCAAGTTCCCCTCAGCGCACCGAGGCCATTACGCGTCTCCCTCCCCGAGTCCGTGGGGTTTCGTTCCTGCAGAAAAAAGCGACGGCAAATGACAGATTTCTTGTTGGGCCCTACTGCCACCCCCCCGGGCCCTCCTCCGCCCTCCCGCCCCAAGCCACCGCCCCACGGTGCGGTTGCGGATATGTGCGGCAGCGCAACTAGGAAGCCAGGGCCGCCAGTCCCCGTGGGGTAGCTACCAGTGAGCCTGATGCGGGCTGGCATCAGCGTTATGGGTGCCGCAGCAGAAATTAAGAAGGGGTCCTCGTCAGACGTGGCAACTCCAGCCATCACTGCCGTTCCAACAGTCACTACCACTACCACCACTTCACAACGACAGCCAGCACCGCCATCACCACAACCACCACTGTCACTCAAACGACTGCCACTCCCACTGCCAATGCCACTGCCACAGCCACCGCCATTATCACTACCAGCGCAGCGTCGCTGCCTCAGCCGCTGCCACTGCCGCTGCCGCTGCCGCAGCCACTGCCACTGCCACTCCCACTGCCACTGCCTCTGCCGCTGCCGCTGCCGCTGCCGCAGCCAGTGGCACTGCCACCGCCGCTGCAGCTGCCACTAGCCACTGCCCAGAGCTGCGGTTCCCGAGGCACGCGAGTCCTCGAGGGTCAGGGCCGGCTCCACGCGGCAGAAGGGCTGCAGCTCGGGCTGGAACGCCTTGCCCAGGGTGGCCGGGAGCCCCGCCATGGTGACTGGCGCTTTGCGGCGGCGATTCTGCGCTGAGGCGCTGGGCACTGCAGAGCCGCTCGCGGCCCCCTCGGATGCACCGTTTCAGCTGCAGGCGCCCTCGCTTCCTGCCAGGGTGCGTGGGGCCTCCGCGCGCCGTGCCTTGCACCCTCTCCCTCCCTCATTTGCCTCGTTCCCGCTCCTCTGCGCGTCCTGCCTTATACGCGAAAGGGCCCTCAGCTCTTGCCCTCAGCTCTTGGAGACGACCCTCCGCGTTGCCAAGGCCGCTTCCGCAGTCAAGGACGATACTGGCGCATCTATCTATGAGGGTATGTTTTGCCAACCATCGCTGTCACGAATCGCCAAGACGTCTTTACTGCTGGCGCTTACTACCGTCTCGATAGACCGCGGTACCGCGGCACACTGGCCGACCAATCTGCCGCGGTCTGCGGAACAAGACTACCTACGTTCCGTAAATGCCCATGCTGGCCGGCTAGATCTAGTACCACATATCCCTCCCTCCTCCCTCCCTTCGATTCCCGGGGCTCCTCCTCTCCACCAATCGACGTATGGAAACCATATGGGATATATCAGAAAGCGACAGATGGGATGGGAAACTACAAAGGTCTGTATACATATATGTATATCTGTACAGAGAGAGAGAGAGAGAGAGAAACGTGCATGCATTAATCATATGTAACCAAATGAGAATACACACATACATCACTATATGTCTATAGAGATAGAAACCAAAAACAAGAGAGGGAGAACATGCTGCTGCTCATCCTCCTCCTTCTCCTCCTCCCCCCGCTCCTCCTCCTCCTCCCGCTGCTCCTCCTCCTCCTCCTCATCCTCCTCTTCCTCCTCCTCCCTCCTCTTCATCCCTCATCCTCCAACTTCACCTCGTCGTCGTCGTCGTCGTCGTCTCCATCTCGTCCTCCTCGTCCGAAGGATCCTGCTTCTCTTCCCCCTTTTCCTCCTCCTCCTTTTTCCCCCTCCTCCTTCATCCTCCTCTTCTTTCTCAGCATCGTCCGTGTCCCACGACAACTCAAAGAGCTTATTATCCAAGTGGCCTTGCCCTATAGGGGTTGTGGCTCACTGCGTAGAGAATTGGTACACGGCACCCACTCGCCCCTACAATTTTGACCTTGCACGATCTTGGATGTTCAATGTGGGTTGTATGATTTGTACGACTTCCAAGTTATCCTGGTCCGGTCACTTTAGTTCCAATCTGATAGTTTTTCCAGCGACGACGGTGCCACCCAACTTTGTTGTGTGTCGCCATGCATTGGTGACAGGCGTGCGCACATTGGGCGACACAAACCGCAAGGTGTGTAAGCAATAACCCATTGCTTACCCGGGCCCTCCAAGCCAGCGGCCTTGTCCCTGCCAGGCCCGCCACATCTTTATATTCACAGCAGACAGCAGCAGCATTGACACGCGCACTAGAGGGGGACGAGGAGGAGGAAGAGGAGGAGGAGGAGGAGGAGGAGAACTGCGCGGCGGCCAGCTCGCGCCAAGACTGCGCGATATAAGCGTGACGGCGAGAGGTGACTCGCAGTCGAGCTTCGAAATGCTCGTCGGAAGGGCCTGGGGGGGGCCCTTTCTCCTGGCAGAATGGGCAGAAAAAAACAGTATCAACACAAGCATCAAATAGAGCATTTGACGAACGTGGCGACGGTGACAGCAAGAGGGGGAGGAAGGCCAGGGGAAACCCTCAGGTAAAGACGACGACGAAGACAGAAGCGCTGGGCCTGTGGATACCATTTGGGGATGCGTCTCAGCAGGATGTCATGGGGGTGCTCTTCGTGCGTAGCAGAGGCCCAACGCATTCGATAAGGAAATGTCGAAGTTTCTTGGTGTCCTCACGGGGCCTCGCGATCAGGCTCGGCCCATGCCAGCCTGGCGGACAACGCGGAAGCGAGAAATACCAGTGATACTGGCGGCGCGTATAAACAGTACGTACAATTTTCCACCAGCCACTGCACAATCTGGCGAAGACGTGCTCTGGATCATACTCCGTCAAGGTGTGAAACGAGGGGACCGAAAGAGGCACTGCGGCTAGCGTACCTGAGGCACACTGCTTTGGCCAGGACATGGATCTCTTGAAATTCGACAAGGAGTTGGACATCGGCGAGCTCGGTACATCGGGAATAGGAGAGCATTCCTGGGAACCGCCGTTAGATACATCGCAACTTACTTATCAATATGAGCTAGATCATGAGAGACAGGATGGAGCTGCATAATATAAGTGAGGGCGGAGACGCACATGACTTTGAAAGCAGCGGCCGAGCGGGTTAAGTGCAAGCCTGATCTGATATGCAACTCCGGCTCTCCGTCGGGACTTGGGGCCAGCTTCGCTCCGCGCGAGTCTCTCGGCCCGGCGGCCGATACACATGGCTAGATATTGCCCACCTCCAGGACCTGGATTACTCTGAACCCCCCGTTCAGGTTCAGCACCCGAACCAAGTCCCTCAGGAGGTTCACGTCCAAGGAGCCCACGACCAGGATCTGACATTTCTTGAGGTTTAGCCTGAAATCAGCGAGCTTTTCGAGCCGCGCCAGCAGGGTGAGGGCGGGGCCGAGGGAACGGGGAGCATCTTGAAGACCAGAACAGCAGCCGTCAGCGTGGGCGAAAATCTGGTCGATAGCTGCAAGCACGAATTGTTGCATGCTGCTTGGAAGTCCCTGTTTGACCCCGCTCGCCATGACGAGCTCTCCATGTGCCCGCCCGCCCAGGCATGCAGTGGCAGTGTTATGCCGGCGCAGCATGTGGAAGAATAGCAAAAGTTGCAAACGCACGGGCGCGCGTGCATTTTTGCTGGCGCGCGGGGGCCGAGGGGTGGCGAGCGACGGGGAAGCGGCGCAGGTGTCGGTGAGGAAGAGGCAAGCTTTCTTGCAATCGGCGATGCGTTGCTCAAGACCCCACCCCTCCGCTTCCACCGCATTCGTGGGCATGCCCCTCACCGCTGCGCATTTCTGTGCCCCGACGTCAGACTTTGGGCGCTGATGGCCAAGGTGTGCGACGTCATCCCCAGAACTGATTTTCACATCGGTGTTGGACGCGTTATGGGGGCGAGCGCAAATGGGACAGCGCCGAACGTCGTAAGGATTGTCCCAGGGCGCCGCGCCCCTCGGGGGGAAGACCATGGGGCTCCGCCGCAGCTGGATCGGCCACTCGTGGACATCATCTGTGAACAGCGCGAGACACATATCCTACAGTAGCCTCAGGCTTCGGGGATCTTCTAAACACCGTGGGGGGGGCGCCCTCGCCGGGCATGCCGCGCGCGCGAACGAATCTGATCGCGCCCTTCGCCAGAAAATATTTCCCAGGAGTGAGGGGGGGGTTCAGGGATAGTTGGAGTGAAGGCATCCACTTCGGGCCACTCGGAAATGTCTGGAGGGGGGGGGCGGGCGAGAACGCGCGGGGCCGGTGCTCCTGGAGGGCCCCGGCGGAGCGGTCGATAGACCTGCGAGGAGCGCCGTTCCCCTCGTAAAACCCAGTCAGGCAAGTTCGACTCATAAATCTTTAAATCTTCTCCAGGGCCCTTCTCCAGGGCCCCTGCGTTCGATTGGCGCGATTTCGGCGGGGCCTTCACTTCGGCGTGGGCCTCTGGCATCTCGATCTCTCGGGCTTCCCCGTCGAGCAGCTGCGACTAGACACCCCGAGTGAGAGCGCGCGGGCCGCCCGGGCGCGCGCGCTGAGAGGCGGCCGGGCAGGGGCTGGCCTGGAGAGCGGGGCAGCAACGCAAAGCTCGATTGACCATCCGATCCTCGCCCGGCCTCCAACCG